TCCAGTCACAGTTATAAAGTATAGATAAAGCTTAGTCAGAAGAAGAGAAACAAGTATAAAGATCAGTAGCAGAGATCAGACCACACTTCCATGAAGAAAGAAGGCTCAAGGAGTTGAGGTGGCTGAAAGACACAGAAGGAAAGTTCTGACCTAGTAAAAACAGCAGCAGCAAAGCCTTCAAGAAAGGGCAGTAAATTTTATTTGCTGAGCTGATACAACTGGAAAAAATGGACAGGTTTTCCAACCCAAGATAAACCTGAAGACATGATTGTGTGTCTAAAAGCCTACCCATTTTTTTCCGACTGTATCAGTCAGTCAAAAGATATTCCCATCCCTGCAAAAACTTGCTTCTCTTATAACTTAATGCTACTTACTCGCAGACCAAGGCAGACAAGCAGTAGGATGCACCTCCATGAATACAAAATGTTCTCTACTAAGTGAAAACAAAGGGAGGTCTGGATGAAAAGAACAGCTACGTTACTAAATTAAGCACTCCGGTATTCTGAAGAGGACCCCCCCGAGGAACCAAAATGTCCCAGATTCCTCCTTTTGGGGCTGGGGTTGTGGGAGTGGGGTGCCAGAGGGGAGGAAGAGAGAAGTCCTGTTTTGGAAGAACTGTTTCAAAGATTCCTGGAAAGTTCAGATTCTCTTTTCTTTTGCTAGCCAGGGACACACTGAACTCCCATCATCATCTGCATCATGCACGTAACTGGTATAAAAACACGCACGTGCTTGGGCAACGCAGAACTATATTGGAGAGAAGAGAGAGGCCTCTGTACTTTTTATAATGAGAGATTCCAGCTCTTAAGTTACAGAAGTACTTCAATCTAAAATTGTCAACAGATTGAAAAACCAGTCTGAGAACAGTTTGCACTGTAAACTCACATTATTGCTGCAGCATAGAAAAAAGCTTTTTTTAGAGTGTTTGCTTGACTTCTCTCCTAATCTATGAAGAAAGACCCTCGTTAGTGGATACCAATCCATTTCTCCTGAAAAGTCTAAGATACATCTATGAAGGCAGACTTCAAATTTCCATAAAACTTGTGCTCCAAATTCCAATTTCAGCCTGAAACTGAATGAATCTGAGAAACAATATTCCTTCGTGGACTCATCCTTATTCAGTCTCAAACAATTTCTCTGGTTCTTTAAAAGAACCACAGAACCTATTTCATTCTCCTAGAGCACCAGTCAGTGTTGTTCACCTAGTAGGTAACAGCAAATGTAGCAAATGACACCACCACAGTGATACTGAGTAGGAAAATAACGTTATCTATGCCTGCCAGAAATACCTAGAGAGCAGGCCAGAACCCGGTACATTAGAAGTCCGCACCACAGAATTTCAGATGCAACCTACAGGTACTACAACTTCCAAAGAAAATTCTTAATTACCACCTACACACACTTTTGCAGACCAAGAAAGTTCCCTGAAAACAAGAGCAAACCATGGGCCTTACTTCTGTATAGATTACTGGCCTGGATACAACCAGTTCCAGACTGCATAGAAAAGGTTAAACGTCCAGACAGTAGCTAAACATGCACCTTCACCGGGCATCTCCACTGCATGAAATTAACTCCAATAGGACCTACAAAACCCTCAACTTTGAAAAATACCCATGTTGTATTAAACACCACAAAGCAACAAGGAGAGTGCCCTTGTGTCAAAGGGTTTATACCAGGGAGTGACTATTCTCAGTAATTCTCTCTCAAACATGCTGAAAACTAGCTGCCTGGAAGTTCTTCCACACAAACCCCCCTTAACTTCTGTCTCCTGAGTCACAGGATCATAGAATGGCTTGGGCTGGAAGGGACCTTAAGGATCATCTAACTCCAGCCCCCCTGCCATGGGCAGGGATGCCACCCACGAGACCAGGTTGCTCAGGGCCCCATCCAACCCGGCCTTGAACACTGCCAGGGACGGGGTGTCCACAGCCTCTCTAGGCAACCTGTCCCAGTGCCTCACCACCCTCTGAGTAAGGAATTTTTTCCTAACATCTAATCTAAATCTCCCCTCTTTCAGTTTGAAACCGTTCCCCCTTGTCCTGTCGCTATCTGCCCTTACAAAGAGTCTCTCCCCCTCTTTTATATAAGCCCTCTTTAAGTATTGGAAGGCCACTATAAGGTCTCCCCGCAGCCTTCTCTTCTCCAGGCTGAACAACCCCAACTCTTTCAGCCTGACTTCACAGCAGAGGTGCTCCAGCCCTCTCATCATCTTTGTGGCCCTCCTCTGGATTTGTTCTAAAAGGTCCACGTCTTTCTTGTGCTGAGGGCTCCGGAGTTGGACGCAGGGCTCCAGGTGGGGTCTCACAAGGGCAGAGTAGAGGGGCAGAATCCCCTCCCTCGCCCTGCTGGCCACATCTCTTCTGATGCAGCCCAGGATACGGTTGGCTTTCTGGGCTGCGAGAGCACATTGCTGGCTCATATCCAGCTTTCGTCCACCAGGACCCCCAAGTCCTTTTCTGCGTGGCTGCTCTCAATGAGTTCTTCTCCCAGTCTGTACTCATGTCTGGGACTGCCTCGACCCCTGTGCAGGACCTTAGACTTGGACTTGTTGAACCTCATTCGGTTCATATGGGCCCACTTCTCAAGCTTGCCCAGGTCCCCCTGGATGGCATCCCATCCTTCAGGTGTGTCAACTGCACCACTCAGCTTCGTGTCATCCTCAAACTTGCTGAGGGTGCACTCCATCCCACTGTCTATGTCATTGACAAAGATATTGAAAAGTCCTCTGGTCATAACTAGTCCACAAAAATAACAACCTTCTAACTACTGTAATCTTCACTAATTCTTTAGCTTAGATGGCAAAGGTTTGTGCTTTTGAGGCTGAAACTTAAAGTTCAAGTCCAGCTGGCAACTACCTGTAGCACTCTAGTTACATACATAGTTACAACAAAAATCACGTCCACTTTCACTTCTCCAGTCATTCCTTTTCTGTTCATTAGACAGCCAGAGTTCAGAAGTGCTTTTTCTCCTACGCTTTTCAATTCTAAGATACAGAAGCTCCAAGAGGATGCACATACCCACTGCTGTGCCATCGGATGTTACACCAATACAGCTGGGTAAGGAAGACCAGTTCTACACGATACTACCACTTAAATCTTTCAGAGCTCAACATGCTCAAAACGTTGAAAAGAAAGGATCTTTATAAGTAACACACTGAGAGGATGAGCATCATTACCAACACCATGCTGGATAATCCATTTTGTTAATTTAGCATTTTTTAAATAAGAAAAGTACAGATCTCATAAATGAAGTATCATGTAACCCAACTGTAATAAACTGGTTTAAATCCTATTCTACACGCAGCCGATGTCAGGAAGAGTTGTGTGCAGAATGACTCGAGAATTAGAAGCCATGTTGCAAGCACAGCTCTCCAAAACTATGTCCTAATGTAGAATGCAGATTTGATCTTCTGGCAAACTCCTCTCAGTTCTTTATAATCGCCTTGATTTCACTTGTGATCCTTTAGAACGACCAAAAAACATTCGTATAAAGAGAAGGAAGTCTCAGGTTTTTTCTTGAAGCTTCCATTTGCCAAAAGATCTCTGTTGTGTCCTACAAACCATCAAGTGCGTACAGATGATTCTTAAGACTATTCAGGCAGAAGAGCAGCTGCATAGCTAGCTTAGATGCTCAACTGTGTGTCCTACAGTACATCTCTGCACTTCTACTCCACTGCATATTAATTTAACCCCCCCTAATCCAAACACCTTCGCTGCAGGAATTCAGATACAGCCCTAGTATTCAATGCTACAAGGCTTTTGGACTTAATTCTTACAACTTCCACCATGATGCAATTTGAAACTGAAGAGACCAACTCCCAGGGATTTCATTTGCCCTAATATTTTTTTCCTCTGTTAACATAAGGTATTAAAAAGCCTCGCTGGATTTACTGACCTCTCACGCTATGATAAATCACTTCACCAACCCACAGAAATAAACTTGGATATGGAAATGCAAATCAGAGATTACTGGGGAAAGGGAGAATTCAGGCGGTACACAACTTGTTGGAGAACCTATCACCAAGACAGTGACTTGCAGTACTTGGTCTGGCACGTACCGTGGCCTGCTATCACCCTCAACTAGTTCTAGCCAGTGTTTCAGAGTTTCTATCATCACAGAGCATTTGGCCCAAAAGAGTCTGACCTGGACGTGTGCTCAGCTAGGAGTGCAGCCCTTCCATGCACACACACTACTTTTTTAGCAGAAGGAAACCTGAACTGTCAAGATTGATGACAATACACCACAACTATATCAGATATTTCTCAAGCAGCAAAAAGAAAACATTAACTACCAAGACTTCAATTGCTTAAGACTTAATATTTCACTTATTTCACACCCAAGGGCTAATTAAATGATTGTGACCCTGTCCCGTGCCAAAGAGCCATCATTCCTCAACATGTGGAAGACAGCTTAATTGTGTGGCAATGCATTTGTTCCAATGCTAGCAGTTTCCTCTTTGATCATCGAGGTTATAATATTGTCTGCATGTACTGCAATAGTGTCTCCTTGTGAAAACTAGATAACAAGTAGTCTCAAGAAAAAACACCTCCCCTCAAACAGCACACCTATGAGTACCAATATAGCAATAGCTATGAGAGAACCAGTTAAGAAAGTGACTGTCAGCCCTCAACACATTATGTAACAGCATTACAGAAGTGTCACACGGATCACTGGAACACTTTCTCAGTTGTAGGTGACTTTTGTGCACATCAAATTTATAGCATGACAGGATTTAGCTATATTGCAATCTGCTATAAACACACACACCATTGTTAAAAAAAACAACACCTGTAGGCAATCTGAAAAAACCCCGACCCATAAATATTATAGCACACTGCTTCAATACCTTCTTTTCTTTATCTACATCAAAAATTACTGGGTCCCCAGCTTAGTTAAAGGCACCCGGTTTAGACTGAAGGCCACCAAGACACTAAAACTGAACTCCTTGAATTTTTACTTTCAGCCCACATGTCTTTATTATTCAGTTCATATAGACTCACCTTAGTCCATGGATGTGCCTTAATCTGAGGGAATTTGAATTCAGTATAGTTTGGATTCATTTCTCTAATTTGCTCCCTTGTAGGAGTTCCCAGAACCTAGAAAGGAGAGAGAAAAAAAGGCAAATTTAGATGTGCTTCAGATTCACGTGGTAATGAAGAGCGCAGTAAAACCTATTAAACATTGAGACAACTTAACTGAAGTCAATCTGTGTAACTAGTAAGTGAATATAGTGTTGAGAACAAAACAACAAAACTTTTGCAGAACCTTTTCAGTTGGAAGGGACCTCCTCTCCTGGGAGCTTCTGATCCAACCCCCCTGCCCAAGCAGGGGCAGCTGGAGCAGGTTGCCCAAGACCATGTCTAGCTAGGTTTTTAGCTTCTCCACACAAGGAGACTTCACAACCTGTCTGGGCAACCTGCTGGTGGTCTTTGACCATCCTCAGAGTACAAAAAAGTGTTTTCTTGCATTCAAATGGAGTTTTATGTCTTTTACTTTGTGCTGCTGCCTCTTGTCCAGTCAGTGGGCACCACTGAGAAGGGTCTGGCGGCTGCTGCTGCTTCACTCCCTCCCACCAGGTATTTATACACATGGATGAGATCCCTCTGAGCCTTCTCTGCTCCAGGCTGAACAGTCCCAGCTCTTGCAGCCTCTCCTCATATGACAGATGCTCCAGTCCCTTCATCATCTTTGTGGCCCTTGCTCCAACTTCAGTAGTCTCTTGCTAGCAATTCAGTTCACGCTCCAAGCCCAGTGTCCAAAATCTAATTATCTTCTACAGCTTTTCCCCAAAATTCAAGCATCTTTCTCAAACTTAGTGATATTTCAATGGGGAAGAGTTTGCTCTAATTAGACTGTTATAAAACAGTATTGCTGAAGACATTTAGGGATTGCAGCTCACTGCATATGGCTGATTAAGGATCAGTAGCAGAGACTGCATTTTACAAGTCAGGTCTGTTGTCCGTTCCCGCCCCCCCGCCAAACTGTGGGGGCTTTGGCGGTGGTTCCCCACCCCAATATTTCCACATGGAAGATAATCTTAGTTTAAACCTAACCTGGAAGCATCTAAAATGCATACCACCCCTGCTTTACTTTTACAAATGTTTATTTCTTGTTCCCAGAATCTGCGCGATGTTATTAATACATGCAAATCAGTAGCTGCATGAGAAATAACACACAATCACACATCTCTTTGGAGGGGTGGATAGATTTTGAAAGGATTCTGGAAATCCCTTCAGGAAATACGCTGGACAATACGGCAGTAGTGTTTTCTATTCAGTTAGCACTAAGCGTGAGAGAGCCATTGCCTTCTACCTATATATAAAAACTGCAAAGCACGTTCAAGGAATCCTGTTGTTTTCTGCTTGCACCCCGTTGCTGGGTGTTGTTCTGTTCTGCAGAGAGAAGCGAAGAGGGCAGAAGGCAGAGGAACCGCTCCTCTACGCTGAGTTCAGGTTCGCCTTCCTATAGCAACCCTGTAGCCACGCTTCTCTCGCCCCGTGACACATCTCTCACCATACAGATGAGCATCATGTTGTCACCTCATCTCATGAGACTGCACTGTCACCATCAGGAAACAACTGATCTACAACATGACGTTAGCACTCTACCTTACTGCTTGATAAAGAAACACTTGGTTAATTCTGGTATCCATGAACATTTTCATTCTGTTAGAGGAGTGGAAATTACACAAATGCACTCTAAAGAGTCAGGTAAAGGGCTAAAAGAGCAAGTTAATTGCTTTTCAATTAATTTGTGCAACAGAGAAACTATCATCAGGTATTATAAAAGGAACTTGGTATCTCTTTATTATTTAAAATACAAGCTGTACGACACAAACTGAAATACCTACCCAAAAGCAATCTTTTAAATAAACAGCAGCAGCAGAGGTTCAGACAGTTGTTTCTTGGATAACAGAGTTAACTGACAAGTTGTACAAAACGAATGATCACGTAACTCCTACCTTCCCGCTGCTAACCAGGATTTAAATCCCACCTACTCCAAAAGCCAAGGGTTACCTTCAGAACTGACAGAAGAATTTTCTGTGCATGTCTGAAAACACGAGGTTTTGCTGAGGTGGTAGAAAAGAGGGTGTTTACAGGATTCCATACATTTTGTTCAACTTGCAAAGCAAAATAGGGTTGACAGAAAAAACTTGCCCCTTCCCTGCTGGTCTTCCAGCTGGCTCCCCCCAGAGCACCGGCCACCCAGCTGCCAGCCTGCCAGGATGGCACCGCTCTCAAAGCTTGGATGACCGCTGCTCACAAAGCTTTCCAATTCTATAAGATGATGCAAATATTATTTTCATCCCAGTTCACGAAAAAAGCCATTTCCAAAACCTTGGAAGTTTCCTGAATTAGTTAAATTGACTTCCTGAAAAATTAGGGATAACTTGTATTGCTATCCCACCATTTCTAAAGGCTGAGTTTTCAGGCCTTCCTAGTATGAACAGGACTTGTTTATTAAGCACATTTACCTTCTTTCCCCTTCTCCCCCTCAAAAAATTCTTTTAATAGCCTTCCTAGGAGGAGACAAGGACTAGATTTTTTTTTCTATAGCCAAAATTCAGGAAACTGGCTCAGTTCCCAAAGCTGCTCAGAACAGGAGCCTACACAGTTGCAAGTATCTTTATTTAAAGACTGCCTACAGCATCAGAGAGAATTCAGGTTAGATAGGCAAGGGCAATTTCATGGAAGGACTCATGGACCATGCCTGCCCATACATTTCACTAAAAACACAGCTGTAACTCCAGATGCTGGGAGGGAGCATCTCCTAAGCTGAAGCGCAGTCATCTCAGCAACAGTGCTTAAGGTCTCGTGAATGCTTAGAAAAGAAGGTCCTGAAGAGGGATCAGACCAGCTGAAAGAAGGGATCACCTGGTCTCTCAGTTACATAGCAGCCTCTGACACGCAAAATAACTGTGCAAAAGGAAAAGTGACTTACATTAGCCACTCAGTGTATTTACACTGTTCCCTCTGGATTGTAAAGCCAGGTTGTGCTTTCAATTTGTACTGAAGGCAGATTAAGGCAAGGGGAAAAAAAAAGAAAACCAAGAAGAGGAAAGGAACATAGATAGGAAGAATCATAGAATGCTTTGGGATGGAAGGGACCTTTAAAGGCCATCTAGTCCATCCCCCCTGCATAGGCAGGGACATCTACAACCAGATCAGGTTGCTCAGAGCCCCATCCAGCCTGGCCTTGAATGTTTCCAAGGATGGCGCATCTACCACCTCTCTGGGCAACCCCTTCCAGTGTTTCACCACCCTCATCATGAAAAATTTCTTCCTTGTATCTAGTCTGAATCTACCCTCTTTTAGTTTAAAACCATTACACCCTGTCCTATTGCAACAGGCCCTGCTAAAAAGTCTGTCCCCATCTTTCTTATAAGTGCCCTTTAAGTACTGAAAGGCTGCAATAAGGTCTCCCCACGGCCTTCTCTTCTCCAGGCTGAACAGCCTCAGCTCTCTCAGCCTTTCCTCATAGCAGAGGTGCTCCATCCCTCTGATCATTTTTGTGGCCTCCTCTGGACCCTCTCCAACAGCTCCATGTCCTTCCTGTGCTGAGGACCCCAGAGCTGGATGCAGGGCTCCACGTGGGGTCTCACCAGAGCGGAGCAGAGGGGCAGAATCCCCTCCCTCGCCCTGCTGGCCACGCTGCTTTTGATGCAGCCCAGGATACGGGTGGCCTTCTGGGCTGCGAGAGCACATTGCCGGCTCATGTCCAGCTTTTCGTCTGTCAGCACCCCCAAGTCCTTCTCCTCAGGGCTGCTCTCAATCCCTTCACCCCCCAGCCTGTACTGATACTGGGGGTTGCCCCGACCCAGGTGCAGGACCTTGCACTTGTCCTTGTTGAACCTCATTCGGTTCAAACAGGACCACCTCTCCAGCCTGCCCAGGTCCCTCTGGACGGCATCCCGTCCCTCAGGCACATCAACTGTACCACTCAGCTTGGTGTCATCTGCGAACTTGCTGAGGGTGCACTTGATGGAAGAATGGAAGCTTTAAAGACGGTGTCAAATTCAAATCACAATCCAGAAGAAAAGTGTGGGATGAATAAAGTGATAGGCTATGAAATTGTACCAGTACTTGACATATCTGGAAGAGGTCCTGTGGTGGACCTCTCCCCACCCCCCAACACACCAACACTGTTTGCTACATGATTTTGAAATTGTACCTCACTGATTCACACTGAGTTTTCAGTATATTAGGAATACATCCGAGTAACCTTGGTGAGCAACAGCAATCATTTAAACTATTGCAAAAATTGGGCAAACCTCTTATTTTTAAAAAAGTCACATATGTGACGGCTCTTTCTGTTTGAAATGCAAAGGAGAAGCATAAATTACTTTGCACAGTTTTGGCAGAGTTACTCCATGAAACAGCTGCTCTTGCTATACCAACTCTGAAAATACTACAGAGCAGATGTTCCTTGGAGAGAGGTTTAACAGAGTGGTTGAGGTCAGAAGGGACCTCTGGAGGTCATCTGGTCCAACTCCCCTGCTCACGCAGGGCCAGCGAGAGCTGGTTGCCCAAGACCATGTCCAGCCAGCTTCTGAATATGTCCAAGGATGGAAACTCCACCACCTCTCTGGACAACATGTTCCAGTGTTTAACCACCCTCACAATAAAAACTGGTTTTCTTGTGTTCAGCTTGAGTTTCACGTATTTTGATTTGTGCCTATCGCCTCTTGTCCTGTCACGGGATGCCGCAGAAAAGAGCCTGGCTTCCTCTTCTTTGCACCTTCCCTTCAGATACTTCCATACGCTGATAAGATCCCCCCGACCTTGCAAAGGGTCCAATACTGAAATATTCAAGTCTACGCACATTAGCACATACTATTCTACTTCTTGTGGACAGTCTTATGAAAGGTGATATTGTTCAGGCAAAAATTGATTTTTTTTTTTTAAATTGGGCTTTTTTTTTTTTTTTTTTAAAAAAAAAAAGAACCAAAGCAGAGTAAATACTAGAATAATAAAAATGTAGTCGTCCGATGAAATCAACTGTATCTGGAATGAAGACTAAACTTTTGAATGAATGAAGGGGGTCTACGTGAGACAAGGGATCTTCCTGCACAGGAAGACAAGAGGTCAATAGCCTT